TTTTTTTTTTTTTTTTTTTTTTTTTTTTTTTTTTTTTTTTTTTTTTTTTTCCCCGAGCTGCCTCCATAGAGAGCGGCGGGTGATCAATGGATCAAGAATAACATCCCGGGAAACCTAGTTTTTAAAAGCGTTTTGCAAACAAAGCTATTGCACGCACAGCTGTCATTGATTATTTTCTGTGAGAGATGCACTTCCATTTTTATTTTTTTTTATAATACACCTATATAGAACAGAATTAGCTCGGAGAGACACCCTTGTTCTCTAACATGCAGCTGGAAATAAAGAAAATTGGGAACTCATGCATTAGTCATGAGATCTGATTTAAACCATCTTCATTTCTGCCATTGCAGATTAGCATAGGATACTATTTCTAAGCTACTCACAGCGGTAAAGAACTGTCTTTGTCTTCTTTGAGTGCTCAGCAGTATGAAATTTGGGGATGATTTCATGCCTATTGCCACAATTCCTGACCATACTGAGATGGACCACAACAGTGGACAAATAAAATTAGCAATTAGTACCTTCCCCGCATTTGGGCGAACAAACATGTCTCCCCCCCCCCTCTCCCCCGAAAAAACTTTTCTGTGGTATCAGTTTGAGAACCGCAGTGAAGCTACTTAAGCTCTTCATGATCACGGATAACTACTTTATCACAAAAACAAAAAAACAAACAGCACACACACACGCGCAAAAAGCACAAAACACCCACCCCCCAAAAAACCCAAAAAGGGAAAAAACCTCAAACCAACCAACCAACCAAAAACAAAACAAACCACCAAAAAAAAAAAAAAAAAAAAAAAAAAAAGAAAAGGAGAAATGACAGCTCTGCTCAGAAGCAGCATAAGAGCGCGGGGAAACCGCAAATCCTGCGTCAATTACAGAGATTCTTGCCTCTGTTAATTTGGAGCCGGGGGATGTGTTGTAAGCTCTCCAGTAACTACTCAATTGAATAGTTAAGACTGAATATAAGAGGGCGGAAAAGGAGGGGGGTGGGCGTCTTGGGTTTTTGTTCAGATTTTTTAAAAAAATTATCATTATTGATTGATTGATTTTTAATTGAAACGGAAAGTGTCATCAGGCCAGAGAGGGAGCCGGCTGTGAACTAGGTTTAAGTTCGAACAAGTACTTTTTATATTCCTCCGCAGTGCCCCCTGCAGCCCGCCAGCTTGTGTGCTGCAGCCTGACTCCAAAGGATAGGCAGACCCGCACAGCACTCAAATCCCAAAAAAGAAAGGCTTCTTATACCCATAGGGTCACAAATACATGTAAAAGCAGTGATTTTCTTACAGACTGCTTTTCGGTGCAGTTGTCTTCTTTTCCTACAGCTACGATAAACAGGATTTTTCAATCTACGTGGAATCACACAAACACAACTTTCAGTATGTCACTTTGGCACCTGTCAGCGTGACAATTTTTAAGTGTATGCTGTATTGCTATAAAATTTAATTCCAGTGTATTAAATATTTAGGAATTTTTCATCTCTCAGCTACATACCTGGTTCTGCCAGGCTGCACAGCTCAGGGGTGATGCTTTGAGTAAAAAAGTTTTGGAGTAACTGGTGCTTAATGTTAGAAGTTTTGCAAACAGATCAACCACCAGTTATATGGAAAAAAACCCCCAAGACAGAAAGAAGGAAATGAAAGGAAGAAAAAAAGAGAAAGAAAGAAAGAAAGAAAGAAAGAAAGAAAGAAAGAAAGAAAGAAAGAAAGAAAGAAAGAAAGAAAGAAAGAAAGAAAGAAAGAAAGAAAGAAAGAAAGAAAGAAAGAAAGAAAGAAAGAAAGAAAGAAAGAAAGAAAGAAAGAAAGAAAGAAAGAAAGAAAGAAAGAAAGAAAGAAAGAGAGAAAAAGGAAGGAAGGAAAAGAAAGGAAGGAAAAGAAAGAAAGGAAGGAAGGAAGGAAGAAAGGAAGGAAGAAAGGAAAAGAAAGGAAGGAAAAGAAAGAAAGGAAGAAAGGAAGGAAGAAAGAAAGGAGTTAAGAAAGAAAGAAAGAAAACCCTACCAAAACCCCTCCATCTGAATACATTCAAAAACATTTGATTCTGATTAAAAGATATTTTTTCATTGGCTGAGGTTTAAACAAAGCTCAGCAAATATTTATCTATTTCCCCACTCATTTTAGCAGCACTGTGGTTATTCCTGCATTATTCTACAGTACATTTTTTTATAAGATAAAGCATTTTCTCCCATATCTAAAAAACAATCAATGGAATCAGCATTTCATAAAAAAGGGCAGTTGCGCTCTGTTATTTTACAGCTGTCATGCAGCACCTAAGAGCTAACTAATTTTTTTTTTCCTGACAAGACATTTTTCTTTTTAAAGACAAGTACTGAGTGACAACTGTAAAACAGCATAATAGAGATAAGATTTCACAGTTCATTTTTGCATCATTTATTCAAAGGACACTTACAAAAACAATTACCAGCTTCTGAAAGCCGAAAATAAAATGAGCTATTTAGTGAACTATTTAAGTTCAATTTTTGTGAAGGACAACACTTCTGCTAAGCCTCTGAGTCTAAATAAATAAAAACAGGAAAAAATCCCTCAGATTATAGCCTGGGCAGTGTAAGAAATGGAGAGATCTCAGCTTCATTCTAACTACTGATTATTGTCATTAAAGCAGATGTTCTTCACAACCTTGACCAAACAAACTCTGTTCTGCAGTCAGAAGCACGAACTCACTCATGATCAAGGTGTGCACTTACAGTTATGACCACGAAATTAAAAACACTCACCTCTTCTGTAGTAATTTGCTTTGCATGCACAAATGTCTATATTTGCTGTATACTTTATTTTCCCTGTCTGCACATCAGCTTTAAAAAACTATCTTCACAACTGGAATTTGGAAAGAATCAAATATATTTGGTGGATGAGGGAAAGGCTGTGGATGTGGTCTATCTGGACTTCAGCAAAGCCTTTGACACTGTCTCCCATAATATACTCCTGGAAAAGCTGCAGCCCATGGCTTGGACAGGGGCACTCTGTGCTGGGTCAGGAA